TAAAATACAGGTGAAACAAAAGCAAAAACAAAAACCAAAACCAAACCCATAAGTGAGTAAAATTAAGTGTTTAATTGGATAGTAATGACTTTAACTGCTATAGGATTTCAGAGGAAAAGGTGATCAAGGAGGACTAGAGGAATCAAAGAAATTTGGAAATCATCAAAAAAGATTCTGATTTTAGAGCTGGGAGGGACCATAGAAAAGATGGAAGAAAGAAAGATTCTGCCTATGGAAGAAGTAAAACTTCTAGCTTAACAAGCACTGAACTTGGAATTTACAAAGAGGGTTCAGTTTCTGTTTTTGACACCAGAAAACTGTGTGATCATGGGCATGTCTCCTTGAACCTCAATTTCTTCATCTATAAAATGTGGATAATTATATTTACTTTGTTGTTCAGTCTTTTCAGTGATGTTCGACTCATCGTGACCCCATTTGGGGTTTTCTTGGCAGAGACCCTGGAGTGGTTTGCTATTTCCTTCTGTAGTTCATTTTACAAATGAGAAAACTGAAGCAAACAAGGTTAAGTGACTTGCCTTGGGTCACACAGCTACTAAGTGTCTGTGTCCAGATTTGAACTCAGGAAGATGAGTCTTCCTGATTCTAGGCACCATCCACTGCACCACCTAGTTGCCCTAATACTTATAGTACCTATCTAACAGGGTTATTATGAATCTCAAATAAAATAATATATGTAACCACTTAAAAACCTTAAATAAATGCTAAAATGTCAGCTATTACTCAATTTTTGGGCAAAGGAAAGAAGAGAGATCATTCCAGGGTAAGGGAAACGTGAGTGAAGCCCATGAAGATGGGAATAAGAATGGTGGATTTTTGAAGTAATAAACAGATCGGACAGAGCAAACAGTTCCAGGGAGATAAGCACTGAGAAATAAGGTTGAATTAATTGAATTTTTAGAATAGGACCCCATGTGAATGGCCTTGAAAATCTCAAATGTTTAGAGCTGATGCTAGGAGTGACATAATGAAAGAAAGATTTAAAAACAAATTTATCTGGGAGCAACAGGTGGGATGGGTTGAAATGAGATGAAAATACAGTCACAGAAGTCAGCTAGCAGATGCTGAAGTTGTAAGGGACCGGTTTAAGGTGAGACCACTGAGAAGAAAACGGGATAACATGAGAGATATTTTAAAAGAAGAAACGGGGGCAGCTAGGTGTAGAGCTCTGGCCTTGGAGTCCGGAGGACCTGAGTTCAAATCTGGCCTCTTGACAAGATCCAGACTCAAATCCAGACACTTGACACTTACTAGCTATGTGACCTTGGGCAAGTCACTTAACCCCAACTGCCTAAGCAAAAAAAAAAAGAAGAAGAAGAAATGACAGAACTCCATGACTGATTAAATACTGGGCTGAAATAGAATAGCTGACTTTAAGTTTTTGAGTCTATGTGAATAATAGTCACAGCAATGTCACTGACAAAAACATAAAAAAAAATGGAAAACTGGGTGGAGGGACTGCTCCTTTTTTGGAGAAGAAGAGATATGTTTTGTCTTCTGACATAAATTTGAGGTGACACAGAAAAATATAAGCAGATACGCCTCCAAGGCAGCTGTATACACAAGACAGGACCTGAGACAACATGACAGGACCAGAGATATTGATTTGAGAGTCATCAATAGAAGCTGAAGCCATGAAAAGGCATATTTTCTGGAAAACAGGATAGAATAAGAAACAAAGACTACTGATAGAGTCTTGAGAATGCCTAAAATTAGGTTGTGGGAAGAGTAGGAGTGGCTAACAACTGTTTCTGTTGCCAATCAAAGAAACAGAAAAGGCCCAGCTGTGGAGTTGGAAAAAAACAAAACCAAAAGAGGAGCTTCAAAAATGAAGAATGACCAGTGATGTTATAGTTTCAACAGAGTTCAAAAGTTCAAAGCTGAGAGAGTATGTTTTGCATTATTATTATTCAACTTGGAAAAAAATAAGAAAAAAGGAAATTAGGCTCAGCCCACCCCCCAAAAATGGCTTAAACCACTTCCTTTGGAAATGTTTTTCCCCATTCAATATAGAATAAAGCTATTTAATTAGTGGGAGGGAAGGGGGAATGTTTTTGATACATATCTTCTACTTATGAATCTCAGTTTCCTTATCTGTAAAAGTTCTGTTTTACAATGACAAAAAATAAGGACATGAATATTACTGAATGATATTTTTTGTACAGCCAAAAAGTATTTCAAAATATTTTAAAATCCCATTATACAAAACCCATTTGTTATTTATCAAAATATGCAAACTGTCAAAGTGACAATTCGTAAAAGCATCCATCTGGTAATGTTTCTAAATAATATCTCAGGGACTCAAACTAATTGCTGTTGGGGTAATGCATAAACTCATGGGACACTGCTTAGCAATGAAAAGATTTGTTCTCGAATTCATAGATGTGAAGGATTTGACGCCAGTAAAACCCAGTTTATCCTCACGGATTATTAGTGAAATACCTTACAAAAGATACAAATGGGTTTTTTTTGTTTGTTTATTTGTTTAGTTATAGTCCTACTCTGGATGGGTTTGACACCTTCAATATCTCCACTTGAAGTCATATGTGGCACATCAGAAAAGGCAAAATGCCCTAATCTTTGGTCTACCTGGTGTCACTGCTGGCAGGAAACTATCCCCCAGGGGAACATAAAATGGCTATAGAGAAAAAGCTTTCCAGTTCTTCAATTTTTTTTTTTTTTACAATTTAATAATAACTTGGTGTCAGGGAGGAGAATGGAGAGAAATAAGGAAATGTCAAAAAATTGGAGGCAAGATCCTTAAAGATGGTAAAGGAATGGGTCCCAAAGAAACCTGAAATCCAAAGACTAATGCCTGAAGTACGAAGGACTGGCTGGTGATAAGTAAAGTGCAGACATTCTGCCACATCTTTTTAAGAGGCGTTACGATACTTTTTTGTGGAGACTAGCCTAAAAGGCCTATTTCCTTATTTTTCCAGATGAAAGGATATAGAAGCTATACTACTTGGTATTTTTTTTTCCTAATATAAACGCCAATATACTCATCAGGATTTCTCCTAAGGCCAAACTTTCTGAGTCAGGGATGAGGAACCTGTGGCCTTGAAGCCACGTGTGGCCCTCTAGGTCCTCAAGTGCAACCCTTTGACTGAATACAAACTTCACAGAACAAATCCCCTTAATAAAAGAATTTTTTTCTGTAAAACTTGGACTCAGTCAAATGGCCGCATCCAAAGACCTACAAGGCCAAGTGCAGTCTTGAGACCTCAGGTTCCCCACCCTTGCTCTGGGTCTTTGATCAAGCATCTCCTGCTATACCATGGCCACTAATATCGAGGTAGTTCAACCCTAATTATCCAAGGTACTAATCTCCAATTTGAGTAAAAAAGCTGTTTCTGTAATTAATTTGGGAGTATGTACATGTATTCTGCTCAAAGGATTATACAGAATGATGGCATCTCTAGGACTTCCTCCCCACTTTTTTTTTTTTAATTAGATCATAGAGGTAAATCAAGGAAGGCCTCTAGCAAGTTCTGCAGACCCTTCTGTGCATTTGGGCAGGCTTGGATCAGTATATGTACCTTTATACTGACTAACCCACAAAGAGATCACAGACCTATTTTTGTATTTTGAGTACGAGCATTCCATCATGAACTGACAGACCATTTAAGGTAACAGCACCAAAAAACAGCTTTCAAGGTTATGTTTATCTCTGAGTTGAAAAGCATTTTGATTTCTGGCACTGAAAATTCTATAAGTAAATTCAGAGGTCATAGAGGAAATACCCTGTGTGAGAGTTTTCATGAACAAGTAAGTTATCTGAATTAAGAAAAGCCCAAGTCTAAATACCTGTTGATATCATGTCTTCTGCCACCCCTTCTACAAGGTATCCATAATTAATAAATCTCCTTTACTGAGGCTGCTTAAATTAAAGTGGCATAGGTAAAGACAGGAGCTGCAACAGAAGTTAGCCCCTTAAGAATGGGGGTCTAGGTGCTCCCTATTTGCGTCTTGTTCTTAAGGGTTTGAACCTCCTCCTAGGGCAAGAGAACTAAAAAAAGGTTCAAAGCAGAACACAGCCACCTTCCTGGACCTTTCTTGACAATATCCCTCCCCTTTTTTCCCATCCTCAAATATTCTCCTGCCACAGAAGTAGAGGAGGGGGAAATGAATTCAAGGAAGACTTAAAATAGGAATAAAAATATACCAGCACTGGTATTCCAATGAGGGAGAGGGAGAGGGGAAGGCAACTGTAAAACACACTTCGCCCCTACAAAATCCAAGTAGTTGCACAACTGGATACCCCCTGGGCCTCCTTTCCATATATACTGCAGGATTCCAAGGTGTACCCTGGCCCTAGATAATGCCAACTGTTGCTGCTCTTGGACACACACACATCTTATACCCATGTAAATAGACAGTTGCACACAGGTAACTAAGCTGCTGCATGTCTCTAAGTGAAGGGGCACACAGAAAGGGCCATCTCCAACAGCTCCCTGTGGAGCAAGGAATGCTGGAGTATGAACAACTGGGTTCAAATCCCAGCTCTGCAGCTTACTAGGTCATTTCGTATGTGACCAAGACTCACTTTCTCTCTCTGGGCCTCAGTTTCCTCATCTGCAAAATGAGTAGGTTGGCCTGAGGAGATGCACCACCTATCTAAGGACCCCTCTACCCCAGGATCTATGCATGACCCTATATTTTGTTGGTGTCAGGCCCACAGCCTACATCTGTGACCTCTGTGCAAGGCTGCTCTGCCTCAGTTTCCTCAACTGCAAAATGAGTGGGTTGGCCTAAGGAGATACAGGTTCTTTCTAAGGCCTCCTCTAGCCCCAAATCTATGACTCCTAGATCTTGCCGGTGTCGGGTCCACAACCTGCATACCCGCAGATGGTGCATGACCCCTGCGCAGGGCTGTCTGCCTCAGTTTCCCCCCTGTAAAATGGGGAGAGTAAAGGCCCCTGACCCCGCTGGCTGGTGTGGATCCCCCCGTACCCCCGCCGCCCAGCCCCGGCCCCACTGACCTGAGATGCCTCCCCCTACGACGACCACGTCGCACTTGCTGGTCGGGAGGTTGATGCCGTCCAATCTCCTGGTGGTCGGGGGAGTGGACCTCGCCGAGGACGCCATGCTCACGGCTGTGTGGGTTCCGCTGGGAGATTTCGGTCTAGGGGCAAGAGGGGAAAGAGAGGTTGGGGCCGGTTAACGGGGGTCCGGGGATGCGCTCGGCGCCACTCGGCTCTGGTTCGCCTGCTCTGCGCCGCGCTGCGCTGCCCGGCTGCCTGCCCGCGCAACCCGGCGCGCCAGGGGGTGCTCGAGCTCGCCTGCTCGCCCCGCCCCTCTAGGCTTCTGTGCTGCTCGCTCCCGCCTCCCCAGCCACAGACCATGCCGCAGCCTACCTCGCTCCCCTCGCCCCCTCGCGGTCTCCCCGGGGCGTCGCGCGCACCTCGATCTTATAGCCTGAGCCGGGAGGCGCCTGCCCAGAGCTCCTCCTGCTCAGCACTGGCGGAGGGGAGGGGCGTGGCGAGCCCAAATGGACTGGGCGTCAGGTAAAGTTTGCCCTGGCACGGCCGCGGCGGCGGAGCCCCAGCCTGGCACGCGTGTCATGGGGAGGGGGGCGGCGGGACGGGCTCTCTCAGGCTCCCACAGCGCCGCTGCTGCGAGCCCCGTGGAAGACTCATGGGGGAAGGCGTGGAGGAGGGGCCGCGGCCGCGGGAAGCTTCCTCCTGGCACGCGCCACCTGCCCCACTTACTGAGCATGCCCAGCGCTCAAGGCCGGAGCCCCGCGAAGCCGGGCCAGAGGCCGCGGACCCCGGGGCTCCCAGGCCCCGTCCTGAGGCAGAGGCAGCGGGGCGTCCGGGCGGGCCATCCCTGGGAGCCCAGAGGAGAAAAGGGCCGGGGGCGAGGCCGAGAAGGGGAGAGACTCCTGAAAAAGCATAACCAACCTTGATCTTGGCTTGACCTCTTGTCTGCACGAAGCGCGGGCTTCCTTTGTGATGTCACTCGCCTGAGCGCTCCCCCCCCCCACTGGGTGCAGGCAGGGGGAGCTGATGTGACCTGGAGCAGCGCTCAGGTTCCTAATCTCTGTAAGGAGCATAGTCCAGTCTGCCCCCGTGATCCCAAGGGCCATTTGGTTTTATAGGTTTGTTAGTTTTTCAATAATAAAATTATAAATAAATAAATAAAAATAAATAATATAATAATATAAATATATTAATAAGTAAAAATAAATATAAATAAATCAATAAATGAATTTAAATGAATAAAAGCTAGAAGAAATCATGGAATTGTCCTTAAAAAAGAAAAGTAAGATGGGAGTTGTTGTTAAGGGTAAGGGATATAGTAAGGAACACAGAAGATACAACCAGAGCTTTCTATTTAAAAAAAAAAAAAAAAAACTATGGAGGGCAAATGTCTTTAGAAGCTGTATGTGCCAGAGTTAATACTAGAAAGGCAGTATCAATGAAAAGACCACTGTCAGAGGACCTGGGTCCAAATCCCAATTCTTCCACTTTACCTTTGTGACTGAATAAATCACTTAACTTCTCCAGGACTCAGTTTTCTCAACTGTGAAATGAGAGGATTGTACTCCAAAGTCACGCCCAGCTCTAATCTATGAAATCCTATAGAGGATGGCCTTGAAGCTTATCAAGCCCCACCTCTGGCACATTCTCATGTGATGGTAACCTCTGTGCACCCCAGACATCTCTCCAAGATTATATATAAGCTGCAGAAATGGTGCTGATGTTACTGCTGGAGGATGCTGGCAATTCGTGCAAGAGTTGCAATCAAAGGTCTCATTTTTTTAAAAAATGATCTGAAAAAATGATTGTTTTGTGATCTCATCAAATTGCATATTTTCTTTAATGATTCAGATCACAACTAGTGCAACCCTTTCATGTTCTTCTATAAATCTGTCAATGTGCTGAGGGGCTTCTTCCATGTGTTGGGATTGAGAAGATAACCAATGGACTTCAGTATCCATCCTCAGCTATCAGTTATCACTCAACTACCCATGAAAACAAAATGAAGCTATACTACTCCTTACAAATTTGCTTCCAGGGACAATAACATTTCCCTCTTGAAGTTGAATTTTGCCCCTTTCCCCATGTTCAGAAACCCAACCACATTATGTATTATGGTCCTGAATCGATAGTTTAGTAAGTTAAGAAAGGATCTCTGTAGGATCAGTCAATAAACATTAAGCACCTACTGTTTTCCAGGCTCTGTGCTAAGCACTAAGGGTACAAAGAGAGGTAAAAGACAATCCCTTCTCTTGAGCAGCTCATAGTTTGTGTCTCCTCCAACACCATGCCCAATCTGGAGTAAAGTCTAAACTTGCTGCCCTCTCTCTAAAGGCCTGTAAAAAAAAAAAGTAGAATGGTTATCTCACCATATTTAGCTATGCCCATATAATTGTTGTAAAAAGTTTGATGAAAACATTTTGATGGTAATTTAAAAAAACTTTAAATTTATTTAATGGTTCTGCTTAGACATTACTAATCACTCACATTGGTCCTATCATAATTGTGTTGTCTCGTTCTGGTGTCTTTCCTGCCAATAATAATAATTGTGAAGGATACTACACAATGCACATATAACTTGCTTTACATGGTAGTTTATGTGCCTTTAACATCCGTTCAGAATGGAATCATTCTTTAAATACATGAGAGCTTACTTTTAATAAAATCCTTTGGTGATTCATAAAGTAGTTTCTAGCTCTTATAATATAGAGAATCACTCTCCAATTTTTAACATCTAAGTCTGAGATTTTTGTATATTAGGTTCACTTTAAATGAGACACACCTGTGCATTGTTTTGGTTTGTTTTAAAATGAAACAGATTGCTACAAATCAAATTATCCCTCCAAAGCTGCAAAAACTAAAACATTGGGGCAGAATGGTTAAAGAAGTATGGCATAATGGAAAAAGCAGTAGACTTATAGTCAAGACATAGGTTTGAGTAAGCAGAATCAGTACACCATTTTACACAGTAACTTCAATACTGTACAATGATCAACTTCAAATGACTTAGCAGTTTTCAGCTGTCAACCAGATCGAAACCACCTCTAACCTGTGGGTGGCCTGAACCGAACAGAGCAGGCTACGGACAGGACAATCAGGAATCAAACAGAAGTTTAATTTCAAAGTGAGGGCAATGGGTTGCAAGCTAGGAGGTGAATTAAACACGTATGCCTGGGCCTTGCCCCTACTGGGGGAGGAACCACTTTAGTGTGCCTGAATCTTGATTTATATACTTGTGACTAGACAAAGAGTCAAAACAGTGTGAGGCACAACACCAACAATGAAGCAAAGTTGTCTAGGGACAAAAGGTCCATTCATAGCAGGGCTTCATGTCTAGGCCTGATGGTGCTTTCCCAAGCTCAGGGACCATCAGTTCCAGAAGGTGAGTGCAAAGGATTGTTGTTATGACAAGCTCAGGGCACAGCTTGCTTGCTGGACCTTGGCTCTGGAAAACAGGGTGTTTCCTAATAGTATCTTGGCACAGCAATACAAAGATCCAAGACAATTCTGAAGGATTTATGGTGAAAAATCCTGTCTATCTCCTGAAAAAGAATTGATGGAATCTGAATGCAGATTGAAGCATACTGTTATTTTATTTTATTTTTATTGGGTTTTTTTCTGTGTTTTCTTTCACAGCATGACTAATATGGGATATGTTTTGCATGACTGCACATGTATAACCTTTATCAAATTGCTTGCCTTCTCATTGATGGGGGAGGGAAGAGAGAGTGGAAGAGAATTTGGAGCTCAAAACTGTAAACAAAAAAACCCCGAAAGTTAAAAATTGTTTTTTTACAGTTATCCTTTCCACATTGTGGGGCTTAGGGGCTCAGCACCCTGACGATCTGGAAAATCTGTGTAAAATTTTTTGGCCCTCCCTTCGTACCCAAGAGATCTAAATTATCATGGTATTAAAAGATAAAATATGTTGATATTATATAATACCATACACATATTTTATGCATTTGTGAGTTTCTAAACTTTTTCTGTGTCAACTGTGGCTTCTCCCTCAAAATTTCCATTTAATTTCTTATGCTAGCCCTCGATATATCAAAATAGTGATGGGGAAGGTCACAATACAGAAGGGATAGCTATACATGTAATTGTAAAAAAACAAGATATTAAAAAATGTTTTTTTAATTTTTAATGTGGGTTTGTATCGCAGTTTTGGTACTTACTCCCTACATGCCCACGAGCAAGTCATTTCATTTCTTTGAGTCTCAGTTTCTTTATCTGTAACAAGAGGATAATATGCTTTCATTACTTGCTTTAAAGGGATGGTGAGGAAAATGTAAAGTGCTACATAAATATGACTTGTTATGGAGAAAATAAGAAATCAATTAGAGGAGAGTAAATAATCACAAGTTTATATGAGAATAGCAAAGTTCGCAGAATGACTAGTCATTATTTTACTTGGTTCTCATCAGTTCTCTCCCTAGGTAGGCCTTGAGAAGGTGGCAAGCAGTGGGGTTAGGCCTTACCCCTTTACTTTCCTATAGCCCAGTGATCTCCAAAGTAGGTTCCCATTCTCCACCCTTTATGGCTATCTAGTGACAGTCATTTGACCTTAAGATGTATGTGATCAACCAATAGGAGGGCAGGAAAATTAATTATATCACACCTTCCCTCCACGGTGGCCAGGGGTGGGTGTGTCTCTTACATGACTACATCATCCCCTTCAATATTCTCACTCCATCCCCTCCCACCATAGGCCTTCCTTCTGTGGCTACATCCCCTCAAGGTGGTTATAACTGAACCTGACCTAGGCCCCTGCAGTACCTGTGCAGCAGAACTTTGACTCCACCCTCATTCCCTGTCCTCTTTCCCCTATCATCTCACAAATGCCCCAGGAGAGAGGCTCTGCACTCTGGGACAGAGGTCAGTGAGTAAACTTTCCTGCCATCTCAACCATACCCCACCACACACACTTTGTTTTTCAGTGGGAAAGCATGAACAACATAGGATGGACAGGCATATAGGCTTTGGGGACAGTATTTTTAGAGCAGCTAGGTGGTGCAGTGGATATTGGGCTTGAAATCAGGAAGACTCATCTCCGTGAGTTCAAATCCACCCTCAGATGTTTACTAACTGTATGACCCTGGGCAAGTCACTTAGTTAACCCTGTTTGCCTCAGTTTCCTCATCTGTAAAATGAGCTGGAGAAGGAAATGGTAAACCACCCTAGTATCTTTGCCAAGAAAACCCCAGAATGGTGTCACAAAAAGTCAGACGCAACTGAAATGACTCAACAATAACATAATCTTTCCCCAAAAACTTGCCTTTCTTCTGAACTTCCCTATTTTCATGGAAATGAATATATCCTTCCTGTCTCCCTGGTCCTCATCCTCCTTGTTATCTTTGACTTCTCAGAGTGAAATGAATCTACCCTCTTACAAGTCGCCAGTGGTTATGTCTTTATTATTAAATCTGACAGCCTTT